TATAAAGAGATAAAGAGATAGATAGAGCCAGACATGGTGGCATGTGCCTTTGGTCCCAGCTACTCAGGAGGCTGAATGGAGAGGTTGAGGCTGCTGTGAGCCATGATTACACCACTGCACTCCAGCCTGAGCAACAGAGTGAGACCTTACCTCAAAAAAAAAAAAAAAAAAAAAAAAACACATAATATAGTATCAAACATTCATTTATTCAATACATATTTATTATTTAGTAAGACTGTTCTATGCATAAAGTAGTGACCAAATAAAAAAACCATGGTCTTTCCTATGAGGCTTATATCTTACCAAGGCCCATTCTAGGCAGTCAGTGAACGGATAGCAGTAAATTAGAGCCAGAACCCCAAATTCTTTATTTGAGTGCTCTCCCACTCTTCCAAACGGTCTATTTACACACTGTAACATATATCAAGCATCATGCAGAAGCAAGATGCAAATACAACAGACATCAGGATCACTCTGCAAGTATCATGGAGAATGAAAAGAGTACAAGCTACAGAAGTAAAGCAAAGCTGGGTTCAAAGTTTGGCTTTACCACTTCTTATATCAAGTTATGTAAGCCTCTAAGCTTCAGTTATAGAATTTATCAATACAAGGCCAGGCTTGGTGGCTCACGCCTGTAATACCAGCACTCTGGGAGGCAGAGGCAAGTGGATTGCTTGAGGTCACAAATTTAAGACCACCAAACATGGTGAAACCCTATCTCTACTGAAAATACCAAAAAAAAAAAAAAAAAAAAAACTAGCAAGGCATGGTGGCACGTGCCTATAATCCCAGCTACTGAGGAAGCTAAGGCAGGAGAACCACTTGAACCCAGGAGGTGGAGGTTGCAGTGAGCTGAGATTGTGCCACTGCACTCCATCCTGGACAAAAAGAATGAGACTCTGTCTCAAAAAAAGAAAGAAAGAAAAAGGAGTTCATCAATATGCACCTGGAAGTATCAATGTGAAGATCAAAAGAACTAATAATATATGTAAAATGTCTATAATCTATCTGGCATAGTGTAGATATTCAAAACATATTCTCCTTTTGTCCATAATCAAATATAATCTAATCTGACAACACCATAGCATGCTTAAAAGGCTGGATTTTAGATTTAGTAAAAGTTAACAGTAACTAGTTTACCTTAAATCACATGATAAAGACTACTTTCATAAAATTTTCCCTATAATTTTTTCTTTTTTTTCAAAACAAGAGTCTCTCTCAGACACCCAGGCTAGAGTGCAGTGGCACAATCTTGGGTCACCGCAACCTCTGCCTCCCAGGTTCAAGCAATTCTCTTGCCTCAGCCTCCTAAGTAGTTGGGATTACAAGCATGTGCCACAATGCCTGGCTAATTTTGTATTTTTAGTCGAGACGGGATTTCACCATGTTGGCCAGGCTGATCCTGAACTCCTGACCTCAAGTGATCTGCCTGCCTCGGCCTCCCAAAATGCTGGGATAACAGGCATGAGCCACAGTACCCAGCCCCTATACTATACATTTAGATATGCCCCCTTTTTTATAAAAATTACATTATTATTACATTATAGGGGAAAAAACATGCATTTTGAGTTTTTTCATTGTAATACTAGTCTATATCTTTGGAATATCACTTGATTTACAGTCAGAAACATATAAGATTATCACTAAAAATATATTTGTATATAATAATGTATTAAAAATCCACAAGCAGTAAGTTTGGCCACTGTTCCTTACCTTCCCAACCCACATTTGGCCTCACTTCTTTATTAATTCACAATAATTTAGTGACACTGCCCTTCTTTGGGCTCTTCAAAACTACAAGACTCTCCAGCATCTAGATGGCATGAAATACCATGCATTACTCTCTAATGCTAATTAGCTAATGGTGAACGGGATCCCACTCTAACTATAGGGATGCCTTCCCTGACCAACAGCCCTGATAAAGTTGGGCTCCACTGTGTAGGGTGATGGGAGAAGCCTCCTGATGTCAGAGAAGGCTGAGTTCCGATCAGTCATCTGACAACATGGAGTTATGCTACAGCACAGATACATGGCTGTGCAGTTACAGAAAAGTTCATACACAATGGATATACACAATTGGCAATAGTCCATGTGCATTGGCTGGTTAAAAATATTAGCCAAGGCTTTCAGAAGTGATCTTGCCTATACAATCTCCACTGAGAGGCTTATGAAATTATTAACATATTGCTGATAAGATAACGGAAAACAACTTTCTTAAGCGGGACTCCCAACATGAACTGATTCTTTTCAATCTGCTTTTATCCTTGGCTGCCAAACCACACTTTGTGGAGATCTTTAGAAGCATAATAATGGCCTGAGGCACACTGTTATATATGTTCATAGTACCCTGTACACTTCTTCAGAGTTCTTTTTATTTGCATGTAATAAATATTTTCTGTTAATGTTTGTTTTCCCCACTTAATAGCTATAGGAAGGTAAGGACTTGTGCCTGTCCTGTTGCCTGCTTAATCTCCAGCACCTACCACCATTCCCATCATATAGTAGGAAACAGATGCAGTAACTACTTACTAGGTGGATGAGTAACTGAATTAAGGAGTGAAAGATGTGTCCATGTGAAAGAAATACAGTATGAGAGTTAAGTTTACTTAATGTAATACATGGAAAGTATATAAAGCAATGTTTGGCACATACCAAGCACTCAATAAATGTTATTTGCTCACCTAGAAGAAAAATCACCCAAGTAGGGTAATACAAGAGATAAAAGCTGTTATTGACTGGAAAATTATAAAGTTGAGCTATACTGTGTGGTTATCCCTGTTAGATCACAGTACAATGTACTAAAGGAACTACAGTAATCACCCATCTCAGCAGTTCTCCATTTAATTCATTTTGTCATTTGAATATACAAATGTTTAAATCCCAGATCTTTTCACATATTCCTAATTGAGTTCAACACCCTTAAATAAAAGCATTCACAATAAAGAATGTCTTGGCCATATCAGACTCTATGGAATTGAGCAATGAAAGAAATGTTCATGCTCTATTCTCTCGATGGATGGAAAGAAAACTAGTGCTCTTGAATATTTTAAGGAAAGGCCAGCAGGGCACAGTGGCTCACACCTGTAATGCCAGCACTTTGGGAGGCCAAGATGGCTTGGGCCCAGGAGTTCAAGACCAGGCTGGGCAACATAATAGGACAGCATCTATGCAAAAAATTTAAAAATTAGTCAGGTGTGGTGCCACATACCCATAGTCCAAGCTATGTGGGAGGCTGAGGTTGGAGAATCTTTTGAGCCCAGGAGGCTGCTGTGTGCCATTGAGGCTGAACTCCAGCCTTGACTGAGACTCTGTCTCAAAAAAACAAAACAAGGCCAGGTGCCGTGGCTCATGCCTGTAATCCCAGCACTTTAGAAGGATGAGGTGGGTGGATCACCTGAGGTCAGGAGTTCAAGACCAGCCTGGGCAACATGGTAAAACTCCATCTCTACTAAATATACAAAATGAGCCGAGGGTGGTGGTACATGCCTATAATCCCAGCTACTTGGGAGGTTGAAGCAGAAGAAGCACTTGAACCCAGAAGATGGAGGTTGCAGTGAGCCAAGATGATGCCACTGCACTCCAGTCTGGACAATAGAGTAAGACTCTGTATCCAAAAAATAATAAAATAAAACAAAAGCAAAGGCCACTCACATTTTTCAGAAATGTGTGAAAATGAAATGAAGATGAAAGTACAATAACTTTATATTTCAAGAAATTAAAACATCAACAGCTCTTTGAAATTAATAAAAAGTAAATCTCATAATCAGGAATTAGAGACAAGGGGAAATAATTCATTAATTAGTAAAATTAAATAAATAAAAGGAAGACTGCAAAAGACTTGAGGTCACTCTGCCTCAGTCTATTTCAACACTACAGCAAGCAATATTTCCTGAAGAATTAACTAGAGGAAGTGATTTAGGGAATGAATAGCTACTAAAACAAGTTTTGTAAGGCCATGAATCCTGCTAGTTTTGAAATAGATGTCTTTTTTTTTTTTTTTTTGGAGACGGAGTTTTGCTCTTGTTACCCAGGCTGGAGTGCAATGGCGCGATCTCGGCTCACCGCAATCTCCGCCCCCTGGGTTCAGGCAATTCTCCTGCCTCAGCCTCCTGAGTAGCTGGGATTACAGGCACGCACCATCATGCCCAGCTAATTTTTTGTATTTTTAGTAGAGATGGGGTTTCACCATGTTGACCAGGATCGTCTCGATCTCTCGTGATCCACCCGCCTTGGCCTTCAAAAGTGCTGGGATTACAGGCGTGAGCCACCGCGCCCGGCTGAAATAGATGTCTGTAAGCATTTTTATTTATTAGACGTTCACACTTTTTTTTCCACTTTGTTTAATGTCATTCATGTTGCTTTCCTCAGGAGTCTTTCTTTTAATCGAACCAACTACATTTTGGCCATCTAAACACTTGTTAGAAACTTCCCAACCCACTATCAGTGGAGAGGAATTATTACAAAATCAAATTAATTATTTCACTGTCAGAATCTAACGCATATTGACAAATCAGATACATTTAAACCTGAGGCTTTAAGCAACAAATTTAAGAAACCCTCTGCTATGTATACATGCCAAATGAAGTCACTCTAGTAGAAATGGACATCTGTGGTCTAGTCTAGTTAACTGTTTTATTTCAAAGAAGGAATATTCTTAAATCACACAAAGTTGCCTATATTAAGCTTGAATAACATAATAAATGTGGAAAATGTGTTCACCAACTAATTTATGGCTTCTTGCTAAAAACACTGCTCTTTTCCATGTGGCCAAATTGATGTTTAGCCTCTAATACATTTGTAATGAACGCTTCCCATTTTACTTTTGTAAGTCATTCTCTTTCCCTGGTTTCTTTCTAAAATTACTACTTTCAATGGCAAAAACACCAACTACTTTTGCCCCAACCCAATAACTCATTTAATCCTATGGGATAGTGCAAAGTAAAATCCCTATGGAATATGTAAGGGAAGAAATTATGAATATTCTAAAGAAGGATACCTACCTCAGGCCCCGTGATGTGCATCAGACCAGAAACAGCAGAGGCAACAGCGTCATAACCAGCTCGCTGAGAAATTGGACCTGTCTGACCATACCCTAAAACAACAAGAATAAACATATTCAGCACTACACAGGGTGTGCTAAAATCATTGTACAATAAATATAGTGTTTTAAAACCATTTCTATCTAGAAATCCTGCAGCATTTTGAGACTATTAGATATATACTATTCCCTGAAGAAGCAGTAGGAATTCATTACAGTGCTCTACTCTGGCTATTCTATTTGCTTGTTTGTTTGAGATGGAGTCTCACTCGGTTGCCCAGGCTGGAATGCAGTGGCAAGATCTTGGCTCCCTGCAACCTCTGCCTCTCAGTTTCAAGCGATTCTTCTGCCTCAGCCTTCCAAGTAGCTGGGACTACAGGCACATGCCACCACACCTGGCTAATTTTTGTATTATTAGTAAAGACAGGGTTTCACCATGCTGGCCAGGCTGGTCTCAAACACCTGACCTTGTGATCTGTCCACCTCGGCCTCCCAAAGTGCTGAGATTGCAGGCATGAGCGGCCTACCCTGGCTATTCTTAAAGAAAATCAGAGGCTAGGTGCAATTTAAAATTTGGACTAAATAAAACAATTACATCAACTAAGTGATTTTTAAGATTACAAAGAGAAGGTAGAGAAAGTATCACAGGTATCGCATTTTTTTTTTTCAATCAGCAAGAATCAACAAAACACAAGAAAGATTTTCTTACTGCTCCCTCGGTCCTGGTGCTTACTGCTACATTATAAAGACTGCATCAGGTCAGGTGCGGTGGCTCACGCCTGTAATCCCAGGACTTTGGGAGGCCAAGATGGGAGGATCAACTGAGGTCAGGAGTTTGAGACCAGCCTGGCCAACATAGTGAAACCCTATCTCTACTAAAAACACAAAAATTAGCTGGCCATGGTGGTGGGTGCCTGTAATCCCAGCAACTGGGGAGGCTGAGGAAGGAGAATCACTTGAATCCTGGAGGGAGAGGTTGCAGTGAGCCAAGATTGAGTCACTGCACTTTAGCCTAGGCAACAGGCTAAATTTTTTTCCGTCTCAAAAAAATAAAAATAAAAACAAATAAAGGCTGTATCAGAAGCTACATGAATCTGTCTCCAAAAAGCAGAGTAGCCCAAAGAAGAGCTTTCCATACGCATGAGCTACCTGATGATATTCCCTGCATGTGCTGCTTTAGGAATATTAGCCATGTGCCACTAGGATATGAAAGAGTTGCCTGCAAGCCTGGTTTCTCCAGCCATCTGGAAGACTCTCCCTCAACCTTTTATAAAAGAGCATCGTCATAATATATGTTGCCACAGTGCTTATCATAATAGAAATGTAAAACAGTTATTTGTTAAATTTATTTTGTCTCCTCACTACTAATATGTACACTCCAGGATGTTTTTCTGTTTGGTTCACTGCTGTATCCTCCCTCAGCCTCTAGAACAGTGTTCAATAATCTTTATTGAAGGAAGGAATAAATACAAAAATATTTTATATAACAATAATGTTTTGGCTGGACGTGGCAGCTCATGCCTATAATCCCAGAATTTTAGGAGACCAAGGAGGCCAGATCACTTGAGGTCAGGAATCTAAGACCAGCCTGACAAACATGATAAAACCGCGTCTCTACTAAAATTATAAAAATTAGCCGGTGTGGTGGCATGCACCTGTAGTCCCAGCTACTCAGGAGGCTAAGACATGAGAATCACTTGAGCCTGGGAGGTGGAGGTTGCAGTGAGTCAAGATGGTGCCACTGCACTCCAGCCTGGGCAACGGAGTGACACTTGTCTCAGAAAATAATAATAATAACAATAAAAATTTTAAAAAAACAAATAATCTATAAAAAGTAAATAGGCCGGGCGCGGTGGCTCAAGCCTGTAATCCCAGCACTTTGGGAGGCCGAGGCGGGTGGATCACAAGGTCGGGAGATCGAGACCATCCTGGTCAACATGGTGAAACCCCGTCTCTACTAAAAATACAAAAAATTAGCTGGGCATGGTGGTGCGTGCCTGTAATCCCAGCTACTCAGGAGGCTGGGGCAGGAGAATTGCTTGAACCCAGGAGGCGGAGGTTGCGGTGAGCCGAGATCGCGCCATTGCACTCCAGCCTGGGTAACAAGAGCGAAACTCCGTCTCAAAAAAAAAAAAAAAAAAAAAAAAGTAAATAAAGGAAACTATAGAAATGATCGATAATCACCAATTAACATACCCAGATGCATTCAGCACCAGAAATGATCTCTGTTACAAATAAGAGTATGTAAAACAAACTCCACAGATAAATCACTCAATACTAAAGAATTAAAATATCTTTCTTGAATTAATTGCTAAAATAAAAAAAGAATTAAAATATTATATTTTATATTTTATATAAACATGATAAAAAAGGTATTAAAATATGTCTCTGCTTATGTTTTAACTTAGAAAATGTCAAATAAAAATAGATAGAATATATAATAAACCCACAGTCAGGCACAGTGGCACAAGCATGCAATCCTAGCACTTTGGGAGGCCGAGGCGGGCAGATCACAAGGTCAGGAGATCAAGACCATCCTGACCAACATGATGAAACCCCATCTCTACTAAAAATACAAAATATTAGCCGGGCCTGGTGGCACCCGCCTGTAGTCCCAGCTACTTGGGAGGCTGAGGCAGGGGAATTGCTTCAACCCGGGGGACAAAGGTTGCAGTGAGCTGAGATCGCACCATTGCACTCCAACTTGGTCACAGAGCAAGACTCTGTCTCAAAAAATACACACACACACACACACACACACACACACACACATACACCCACACCCACACACACACATATAAAATAAACCCATCAGTCAACTTCAACAATTATTCATGGTCAATCTTATTTCCACTATGCCTATTTTTCAGTTAGAACTATTACACGAAGAAAAAACAAAATCATTCTTTTTTCAATTCATATTTTATTTTCATTTATTTATTTTTGAGACTGAGTCTCACTCTGTCATCCAGACTGGAGTACAGTGGCACTGTAGGGGCTCACGGCAACCTCACTGACTGTGTTCCAGCAATTCTCCCACCTCAGCTTCCCAAGTAGCAGGGACTACAGGCATGCACCACTACACCCAGCTAATTTTTGCATTTTAGGTAGGGATGGGATTTCACCATGTTGCCCAGGCTGGTGCTGAACTTTTGAGCTCAAGGGAACCACCTGCCTCAGCCTCCCAAAGTGCTAGGATTACAGGCATGAGCTACTGCGCCCAGCGACATAAAACCATACTGAAAAAACCCAAACGTCTTGATTCAGGTAAATTCCAGTTTTGTCTCCCAATATCAATAACAAAACTTATAAATCCTTAACTATTATTCTCTCAATCTTTAGAAAAGCAAAAATGGAACATGAAGCAAATAAAGAGAAATAAACTATAGGTCAACATTCTCTGTATAGAAATAAATTAACACCAAGCTTTAGAGAATGCGTTCCAGAGCAGGCAGCATACTGCTGTAAAGAGCACCCTGGCCCGGGATTCCAGTCTTCAAAGCAATGGTTTTCAAACCACAAGTAGTCCCCAGCATAAAACAATTCTCCAGGAACAGAGAGAAGCTGCCAATAGCAGGAAGGCCTGTGCACCGTGAACCACCTGTTATCTTAGCAGGAAGTCACAAAAAGGAATTAAGTTTCAGTTCACTCTAGGTTTGGAAAATCAGGTGCTTCTGGCGAGAAGCCTAAATCCCTCAAATGGGACAAACCCAGGTCCCTCACCATCAGTGCAGCTCTAAATGGACTCTTCTAAATAAAGGCCTACATGAAAAATTATCTTTCTGTTCAGCTTAGAAAAACGGAGAGACACAAAAATCCTAATTACTGTAAATTACAACTTATAGTATTATTATTAAAGAGAAAAGAAATAGTTGCTCTTGTTTTAACCAGTAAAGTATAGTGAAAAAGAGGAGTTTGAGGATTGAAAAAAAATCTAGATTCAAATTATAGCTCTGACAACTATTAAATCTTTGACATTTATTCAATCTCCCTAAGACTCAATGTCTTCATCTGTAAAGCAGCAATATTCACATTTATCTTGTAGATTTCTTATGAGAATTTAATTTGATTAGATAACACAAGCAAAATGAATTTTACATTGAGAGCTAAATATATAGTCACTAAAGATGAATTAATCAATATATTAATGCTATATTAGCTTAACTTTTTTACAAAATGTTGAGAATAACAAAAAGAAAACTGCCCTGAGGTATGTCAAATTATGACAATATCTAAGTATTGAAATTATGTTGTTTAATAAACCATAAAAATTGAAATACTTTGTAGTTGAAACCTTGCACTTATTCATAATAGCGAAGCTGACAATAATAATAAACATATATATTCTATAATTAGTCAAGATTTATTCCACCTTTTTACCTTATACTTGCCATAACTATTTAAATATTGACTACCTATACTATCAACAAATATTTACAAGAATAAATAAACAGAATAAAGCAGAGAATGGATATCAAAATGGTATTTTGCTAAGATTGCTCTGTTGGTGATGTACAGAATAAAATTATTCATTAATAATTTAATAAAGAGCTAGAAAAAATGTTAAGCCTGGGATCCAGATAGTTCTTCTAAATATTTAGCTGTACAATTCCAAAAACAACTGTGATCAAAATATAAATTTAAGAGGAAAAATGTATGCATGTCAGTGCTATTTTATATTGAAGTAGAGCTAAGAAAAATCAGGGAAGTTGTGGAAATCAGAGAGGAACACCTAACACACATTTTCTTTCTCTTTCTCCCTCCCTCTTTACCACTTAACAAGTCACATTCATTTTAAGGAGCAACCTCGCCATCTTGTGGTATTTATGGACACTGAACGCAACATGTGAATTTCTAAACCCAAGTAAAAATGCACACGGAGGAAGCTAAGGGGAAAAGATTTGTTATCTCTTAATATTTTTCCTGACTGCCATATGATCTGGCCTGCCTACCCCATTTTTCTTCATACTTATGTCTAACTTTGTGTTTTCCCTCTCTCCCTAACCTCTGCCTTAGAAAGCAGGAGCTACCACTGGTGCTCTTGTTTTCTGTAA